AGGGCCTCAATGGGATCCATTCAAAAAGCTGTTAGCCAAAATGGATGGTATCCAAGTCTCGTTAGATAAGGAGAAGAATCCTAAGGGTTTGCCTGTAATGTGGCTTTACAGCACTGGGCCCTGCGTTTTCAGAACCCTGTGCAGTTTGATCTGACCAAGGCACTTCCGGGAGGGTGCTACCATATAGCAGTGGCCTCCATTTAAAAAAGGGGGACTGAGTCCTTGAAGGTCTTTAGGACAAGGCAAGCCGTGGTGGGTGCAGGTTGGTCCCTGACTAAAAGTTCAGGGGCCTGTGGCGGGATGGGTAAGTGTTCATCTATATATAAATGTATCTGTATATGCGGAGGAGTGTGCTATGGCTGACTGGGAAGACATTCAGGGGGAGTACTTCCTTTTTTGCCTGTAACTGCTTGAAATACCTCATTTTGGCCACTTGAGGGAGTCTGTTACCATGTTTATGCACGCCCAGCGGTGATGCATGAGCAGTAGCAGCAGGAAGAGAAAGTTGGCCATATTGTTTACATAGGATGCTGCCTGTTACATATAAGCTGCTGCAGCCACCACTACCTCTGCTGCTGGACCCTGGATGGATGGCCAAGACACAGGGCAGGTTATTCTAAAAGGCATGTGAGTACTCCCCTGGGAGGATCAGCCAGTCAGGCAGGAGGGTTGTGTACATGCTACCCCCCTTTTTTTTAGTGGACTGCATTGGAGTATGTTGCTTCACTTTTAAGTAGGTCTATGGTGTGTGCTGTGTTTTGATTACATTCTTACACCGTTCTTGTAATGGGGGAGGCACAGCAGGAAAGGGTGCAAATTCACCACTGCTAGGTCCTGTGGAGCCTAGTCGAAGTTCCGCTGTGTTATCCTCTCCTGAAAAACCAGGGGCAACAGGTCAATCTGAGCTGCTGCATTTATTCAGCATTGTGTCTACTACTGGTGCATCCACTTTGGTGTAAGTAACTAAGGAGGATCTTGCATCAGCCTTGGCAGGGTTGGAAGAAAAGATTGTGGGGATGGTTGCATCGGTGGCTTAGGGGGGTAAGTAAGCGGTAAGAAGATCCCCATCTTTGGACACCCACCAGTCCTTGAACAAAGTGGATGGAACCTGAGGATGAAGATGCAGTAGAGGATCTTGAAGAGGGTCAGGCAATTGATTATCTGTCAGAGAAATCACAGCCTGATGAGAAGCAGGGGGTTTCTGCTTCTCAATCACAGAGGTTATTAGTTAAGACCCTCACTGATATGGTCCGGTCCGGTTTCAAGTTACCCCCCTGTGGAGGCATCTGAGGTCTCTTATTCCTCTTTGGGCTCATTAAAGCCGCCTCAAAGTATTAAGGCATTTCCGGTGCATCCTGTTTTTGAGCAAGTTACCCTCATGTCGTGATTGTTCAGTTCTTGGGCCTGGAGCTGACCTGGGACAGAAAAGTATAGAGGAAGTGTGCATAGTACACACAAAGGCTCTTACTTACCCAAAAAAGGCGCAATTTATTTTTGAATATTGTGAGTGGTATTACACAGCTTATTTAAATAAAATACCTAAAGGATATAAGGCACTTTGTTTTTTCTTCTTTCTTGATATTACTTATGTGGAGTACTGGAGGGGATACAAGGAGGAATTAGACCCCTGGAGGTGAGAAGGAGGAATCCATCCATCTATTACTAAAACACAGGGATCAGTGCATGGAGAGAGGGGGATACAAGGAGGAATTAGACCCCCTGGAGGTGAGGAGGAATCCATCCATCCATTACTAACACAGGGATGAGTGCATGGGAGAGACACCAGGTGGGAAATTTAAGATCACTACAACGATACATAATTTGAGAAGGATTTCTGGCGCAGGAGTATTTCATCTGTTCATATAGAACAAAAAGCTATTTTAGCCTAAAATTTATTAGGTTAAAAAGGAGGTGAGCACATAGAAATAACATTATTGATCCACCCATTATAGCAGGTCCTTTATGATAATAGCTAAAGAGGACTCTTTATATATATTTATGGACACATATTTGATGTGGATTTCCTAATATATTGACTTCATATGAATTTTCTCCGTATATTGATTTTTTATTTATTTATTTTATAGCTCAATGAGCTGTCACTTTCCTGGGAGCTATAGGAAACTTTGTTTTATTTAGCTCGGGGAAAGAAACTAAAAGGAAACTTTGTTTCTTTTTCCTGGGGGGAAAGTGATAGCTCATTCTGTAAGCTATTGCGAAGAAAAAAAAAACGGTAATTTCATTTAAAAACCGGCACTGTGATATAGTGACAGCCAGTCACTGTATACACTGCTCCTCTCCTGCTATTCTCCACCGCTCCCCCCCTCACATCTGCAGTACACACAGTCCCCTGTATTGGCACCTGTATCAGCTAACTTTTTCTTATCGGCAAAATGCTGATAGGGCTATTTTCGGACGATTATGTTTCGGTGGCCGAAATTTCAGTGCATCCCTACAATCAGGACATTGTTCTGCCTTCATACTTTCCTAGGCCTTCAGTCGACAAAATAAAGCTCTTTGCATGCCCTGGATGTGGTTCGGGCAATAAGGGTCTTTTTGGGAATGACGGCGCAGATTAGAAAGGCTGATTCCTTGTTTATTTTGCTGGAAGGACCCAGGAGAAGACAGACGGCATCCAAAGCAATTATTTCTAAGTGGATTTGCGAGTTAATCATTCAAGCCTATGATTTGAAGAGCAAAGTTCCACCCTTGCAGGTAAAAGAACTCTCTACCAGGATTGTGGGGGCATCTTGGGCTATCCCCCACCAGGTGTTCGTTGCTCAGGTTTCCAAGGCTGCTACATGGTCTTTGGTTGATACATTAACAAAAGTTTTTACTGTCACAGATCAAACACACGCCCAGAGCGACTAGCTAACCGAGGTGTGCACTGTGACTTGGGGTAAAGAGGGAATGCAGGGGACTTTGAGCACATAAGACTGGCCGTGATACACTTTCACAGCCCGCATTACCTCTAGTCACCACTAGAGGGAGACCACTCCAATCCAGCTGGATGACCACACACAGGCAGATACAAATCTTACATACAATCTGGTGCACTCTAAGGGTTGGGGACCAGTCTAGTGATTGGCACACCCTTCTAGGATTCCTCCAGCTATCCTATAAGATAGAACCCCGGTGTTAATCACTCTTCCACTGTCCACACACCCCCACACCAAACACACAACAAACGGTAGCTTGTCACCACCCAACAGTTTGTTCGCAGACTTGTCTGCTGGGCCACCACACACACACAGATCTCCATCTGGCAGATCTGCTACTTTACAATCTGCATGTAATCTGCCAACACGCGATGCAATTGCATACAGATTGGCTTGGAACCTAGACAGAGCACATAGACACTACAATACAACAATCTCTCCGGAGATATGAGCCCGAGCTTAAGTACCCAGAATTTTATGATTTAATATCCCGAAAGTTGGCAGTGCATAAAATATGTACAAAGAAAAAAGTTACAGAAAACACAAACAGGCATACAATTGGCTATTCACTATGAAATAAAAAGAGAATAAAAACAGAAATAAAACTTTTACCAAGATTTATCCTGCAACTGGAGCAAGTCAAAGAGAGTCCGCGATTTGCCAATCATATGGAAACGGCTCCGTACGAATCACGCCATCCATATCTTGGGGTCCTCAAGTTATTGAAATATGGATGTGAGCGGGACTTTAGCCCTTGGCCAATCAACCCTGGGGGGTGTTCCTGTACCAGCCCACAGGACGTTCTGTGTTCTGAAGTGACCAATCTCAATTGGACCAGGAACGTTTCGGATCACTGGGTCAGGGATATAATTTCTGACACCAGCGCATCAGTCCAATTGCAACAGTACCAATCGCTGTTCAGCTGTTGCAACCAGGCGCCATATACTGTTTCGTGCGTTTCTCTGGGATTCAACAGAGGCTACAAATACACTTTTACATATAGATGTTGCCCAAAATGTGTCCAATCAGGAATTCTTTTCATCTCTCCACAACTAATATTTTAGCTTTTATGAGAGATGAAATAGATTCCTCTGATCTGTGGATATAAATCAGAGCTGGCAGACATTTCCGAGCCCTCTCCTGGTCCCCTGCGGTTTCTTGAAGCCGAAATTCTAGAGCTCTTCTTTTAGATTTCAAGTAGATGGCAAACTTTGGCTACATAGATGAGAAGCGTTTTATTGGTATCTAGGTGTCACCTCTAGCCTAGAAGCTAGCTCTGTTCTTTCAGATGCTAATTGGTGAATATATGTCTCTGACTGAATACTGAAAACTTATCTTTAATAACATGGAATGAAACTAAATCTACATTTACATATTTCTACTGATCACATCTCAACTACCCTACTCTTACATTTATGTTACATTTACCAGGTGGATGTTAGAGCCACGGAGGATTCTGCTTTTGGCCGCAGTGTTTTATGAACAGCTGAATCCTTTTGGGATGTTGACTGTGGTTATTGTGTTGTCACCCACACCTCAAGGTTATTGCTTTGGGACCTTCCACGTAGTCATTATTATGGCATGCTCTGTGTCCCGTGATTTACGATAAAGAAAAATAGCTTTTTTTTCTAGTTACCCGTAAAATCAATTTCTTGGAATACATCACGGGACACAGAGCTCCCTCCCCTCTTTCTGGATTTTCATTGCTTGCTACAAAAACTGAGTATTTCCTTTTGTAGGAGGGGTTATATGGGGGAGGACTTTCTGTTTGACTTGTCAGCCAGTGTCTATTAACCTATAGGTGGCATATAACCCACATAGTCATTATTATGGCTTGTTCTGTGTCCCATGATGCACTCCAAGAAATGGATTTTACAGGTAAGTATGTAGAAAAAATTTTTTTTTTTCTCTGAATGCAGATTATTGCAATTGTTTTAGCTGATTTTTTAAACATAATCATTTGATTTTTTTTTTTTTTTTTATTTATTTTTATTTTAGCCTGCTGTATCGGTTGGGAATGTTGGCCAGCTAGCGATTGATTTGATTATTTCAACTTTGAATATGAGAAAGGTTGGATACTTCCACACAGACTGTCTGGTACCTATGGTAGGAAACAACCCTTATGCCACCAGTGAAGACAATGCAAAGGAACTGAGCACAAATGCAGAAGGTAAGTACTGAATGGGACTAAAAATCTGATTCTAGCCTGTGTGAAAAATAAACCCCATTACTGTGTAGTGGATGTTGGGAATAGGATTGACATCCATACAGCCTGCGATCTACTATTTTAACAGTACTGACTCTTGCATATTAACCAAGAGAGAATCCACCATCAGCATTCATTGCAGATACCTCATAGAGATGAGCACTAGAAGGATTCTAGTTAAAAAGTGAATCTCTTCATCCCTAATTATGTATTTTCATGAACTGTTTTCCAATTTTCTCTTTTAGTGTATTCATTGCCCTCCAAGCATCTCACAGTTCTCCAGATCCGATCACCAATAATAAAGGTATATGTTTTCCATTGTTTTCAAACGGAATAGAATGTATTCTGTCTCTTTAACACAAAAAAAAAAACCTGAATCCTAACTTTCATAGGTTATTTGCGAACTCACTGGCCAGTCAGTGTACGATCATTAATGTGGTGACACTAACAAGTCTGGTTAGTAATATCAGTGAAACCAGTATCCCAAAATGACTTGGTGTCTAGGCAAGTAAAAGCAGATAATGATGATGCTGCATGTCTTGTGTGTGCAGTTTTTGAAGTAGTTTTCCACCTCATTATGAAAACATATTTTTTCATTTAATTTTGGTATGTGGATCTACAATTGAAAAAGTGTCTTATTTCTCTTTCAAACTTGTAAAGAAAAATTCACGGTGTTTTCGCCAAGTCCTAATATCCTGGATTAAGAAGTGTGGCTTTTCCAAAGTGGTGCTTCTCTCAAGCAGCCATGCTTATCGGCGAGATGACCAGCAACTTTTTGGGTATGTAAAGTGGCTGCAAGTGAAGACTGTTTTCATTTGATTGCTATAAATAACTGACTTCAAAGTTAGGGGCTAGATTGTCAAACGGGTAAGTAGTCAATCTGGATAGATGAAATACAGTATATCAGACCATTTCTTATCTTGCACTGGTTGATGAATATACAGTGGTGTCATTTTTTAGTAGGAGGTTCTCTTTAACCAGAAGCAATCTGTCATTTCTAGGACTCCATACCGATATTTAGTCACTTCAGCTTTGCAACCATCTGTGACAGACGTGATGAAAGAACTTGAATGGAAGGAACTGGAGAACATTTCTTTATACCCAGGCATTAATGATGAAGAGAAAAAGATGTCTATCCCTGGAGGAGGCTTTACCAAGCAGATTTTTGAAGACTGGTAAATAACCACCCTGCCTGTTTTGCCTGCTGGTATTTAAATGTAACTTCCACAACCCCCATGCAGTATTTTTACCCCAGAATATAATGAAGAAAATCTTCTACATTCAAGGGTACATCTGGACTGAACAAATATATGTAAATTAAAAGTGAAGTGGCACTTGGCCTAGTGTTGGGTCACTCCAGAACCAGGCACTCTATAGCTGGAAAAGAGGTGTGTCTGCTCTCCCTATTGGAGTATTTAGAAGGTGATTGCTATAAGTTTCACCGTACATCTTGTAATGTCTGCTGTATGGGGTGATTTTAGTTTACAAAACTATTTACTCATACAGGTTTGCTTTAAGTGGACAAAAAAAAGTGCATAATATATATTACAAAAATTAGTATTTTTAGTAAAGCGATTGTAACAACAGACCAATATCACCAGAAAATTGATCTGTACTGTGTTTTTTTTTTTTTATTTCCACCTTATTACAGTTTTTAATGTATTATTATTCTTATTATTATTATTCTTATACAGGATTTATATAGCGCCAACAGTTTGTGCAGCTCTTTACAATATAAGGGGGACAGTACAATTACAATACAATTCAATACAGAAGGAATAGGAGTTCGCTGCTCAAGGAGCTTACAATCTAGAGCAAGGGGTTGGTGGTACAAAAGGTGATAGCTGCAGGGGATGATCTGATGGAGGTGACTCAAGTACAGTTCTTAGGTGGAGGTGCGGTATTGCTCTGAATTTGTGAGTATTCAAAGATCACCTAAAGGTGGACTGGGTGGGGGCTGATCGGAGATACTGGAGTAGGGAAATCCAAAGGATGGGAGAAGGTCTGGCGAAGTCCTGGAGGCGAGTATGGGAGGAGGTGACAAGGGAGCTAGAGAGCAGGATGTCTTGGGAGGAGTGGAGAGGACGGTTTGGGCGATATCAGTGAGGTTTTTTTTTTTTTTTTAAGTATGGGCGTAACCAGTGCATGTTTGAGTGGGAAGGAAAAGGTGCAGGTGGAGAGGGAGAGGTTGAAGATGTGGGTTAGAGAGTTTAGGATAGAGCAGAAAGAAGGCAGCAATAATTGCAAGGGGACAGGTGGTGAGGTGATCCTTGGAAAGGAGTTTGGCAACTTCCTCTGTGGTAACAAGGTCGAAGGAGGAGAGTATTGAGTGTGCTGTTAGATCTGGTATGTTGGTTGGAGGAGATATCTTGACACTGGAGATCTCATCACGAATTGTGTTGATCTTGTTCTTGAAATGACTGGCAGTCTCCTGGGCAGTAAGTAAGTTGGTGGGTGGAGGCAGTGGGGGATGAAGTAAGGAATTAAGGGTAGAAAAGTGTTGACGAGGATTGGATGAGAGGGTTTTGATGAGAGTGGTGTAGTAGGTTTGTTAGCAGTGTGGAGGCAAGAGTTGTATTTGAGAAGGGCAGATTTGTAGAAGGTGTAGTCTTGCAGGGATTTAGTTTTACAACATTCTCGCTCAAGAGCACAGCTGCATCTCTTGAGAACTCTGGTGTCATATGTTTGCCAGGGTTGTAGCAGGCGAGGCCTCGTCCTGTGTGTAGAGAGAGAGGAGCAAGTGTCTCCAGCGAGGATGATAGTAAGTTGTTGTAGAAAGATGTGGCCAGGGCAGGACAGGGGTGCAATTTTATCATAAAGTCACTAGCAGAGTGAAGAAGGGAAGAGATGAGGTGGCGGAGGTTTCAACTGGTAATTGTTTGCTGGTTGGAGGCATGAGAGGTAAGAGAAAGGGAGAGTGTGAAGCTGATAAAGTTGTGATCAGAGAGAGGAAAAGGGGTGTTAGGTTACAGGGAGTTCATAGGTGAGAGAATGAATGCAAGGTCGAGGGTGTTGCCATTGCAGTGAATGGTGGTTTGTGTCCATTGTGCTAGGTTAAAAGAAGAGGTTAACTTGAGTAGTTGGGAAGTGGCTGAGGTGTTAACATTGAGTGGAATGTTAAAGTCACTGAGGATGATGGCAGGTACCTCAGAGGAGAGAAAGTAGGGTAGCCATACAGAGAAATCATCAAGAAAGCATGCCATTGGGCCGAAAGGCCAGTAAATGATTGCAATCCTCAGACAAACAGGAGAAAAGACTAATACAGTGCACTTCAAAAGAGTGGAGGGACAGAGAGGGAGGTGTAGGAAGAATCTGGAATGTGCTTTGTAGGGAAAAGAAGATGTCCTACTCCGTCCACTTTTCATCTGCAGGGTCTGGGTGAGTCCAGAGGAGGCCACCATGGGAGAGGACAGCTGAGGATACAGAATCAGATTCCTGGAGTCAGGTTTCGATAACAGCAAGGAGGTTGAGGGAGCGGGAGTGGGAGAGGTCATTGACAGAAGAAAGTTTGTTGGAGACAGGGCGGGTGTTCCAGAGGGCACACAAAAGGGGAAGACTATTTATTTTTCTATTTTACAATGATCTTGCACAGTATGCATGCAATTCTCTGTTATCCGGATGCAATTTTACAATATTATTTGGCATTGTATTGTGTATTTTTTAATATGATTATTGGTGTAAAACTATACTACCATAGAGTTAGTCTGGAACATGTTTTATCTGTGGGTAGCTATAGACTTGCACTAATAAGGCAGGAAGCAGACCCTGCATATGTTGTATCTACCCCTATGGCAATAGTCCATGTAAAGAATTCTCACTTACTTTTTTTTTTGTTGCCTGTAGCACTTTATCCTATCTTTCTGCGTGGTCTTGAAGCTGAGCTAGCAAGGTCTTCAAAACTCAAATTGCCCCCCTCTTCCCACACCGCTGTCCAAACATGCAGCTAGCAGAGGGATTATAATGAGTCTTGATTGCCAGTGATGGTCTCCAGCTCCATACGCTTGCCTGAGGCAAGTGGCACTGCTAGGAATTCAAGAGAATTGTGGCTGGGCCACACAGTGTTCTTAGGTTGCTGGAAACCAGGCTTCAAAGCAGCCCTGGTTTTTCTGGTGCAGGCTGCCTGGCCTGTTCAATCCTGTACTTTGATAATACTAAGCAAAGTAACATATATGTTTTTCAGCAGGCAAAATAAGCTTCTTGTACTTTCCTTTGTTACACATCACCACCAAAATTACCACCTTCCGTCCACATTAAGGCAATGGTTGTCTTACTAAGTAACAGTCCCTAATGTCACATGAGGGCAGTATGGAATTATGTATAGCCCTGTGTTGATTTTAAATTTTTTTTGTAAATTTGAAACCTACAGTACATTGAAGTTTCTGGGAGCTCTGTCAACAGGTCAGGTGTATACAGGAAACGTATTCTCCTCTACAGTGAACCTTTTACCTTGATTGCTATGGACATTGTATAGATTTACTTTAATCCTTACATTTTTCCGGAGTTTAGCTAAAAATAAATTAATAAATGTAAAGAAATTCACATGTTTTACACATTTTCCATCCAATGAAAGGTCAGCCTGTAAGAATTCTTAGATCGGACATGCATCTGGAAAATGTATCTGTTCATGCTTTCCATTATATTACATTCATAGTATAGCTTACATAGAATGCTGAAGTGCAGTGGTAGCCAAAAACAATTCTGTGTATTTTTTTTATAATTATGATAACACTATAATGTATGTGACACACTCTCATCATAGTTTTTTTTCTAATTTTGTAGAGCTTAGGTTTCCATAATAAAAGAAATTTCTTTATCACGTCTTATTACCAAAGTTCAATTGCAGCTTTTATTGAAACTTATGCAGATATTTGTGATATTTGTTGATATGTTTCATGTATTGCAGCTCCTCAGAAGACATAAAAATGGCTGTTGTTTTAAAATTCTGTTCAGAAGGTGACAACATTCCTGATGCCTTTGGTCTTCTCAATCACCTCAACAAATGGCTACATTTGATAGAACTTCCAGTAAGTAACCTTTACAGATGGGATATGATCAGCCATTCTACTTTGTACCAATCTATTTGCAAAATATTCAGATTATGGATCTCATTTGTTTTATCACACCCAATCCATTAAAAAGTAAAAGCAAAAGATACCCTGAAACTTTCCTGCACAAACTGCTTTTAGTCTCCTTTGATGTTAGCCACATGGCCAACTGCTGGTTGCAAAGGGAGAATCAGCGATCAGGAAGAACTGCTGATTGATGGATTGGCATGCACCCTGGTCCCCTACCTTTTATCAGTTATCTTGTGAGTTATGCATTAGCCTTTAGCCACATGAACAGCATTTCATTAGGACCCCAGAGAAGTCAGGAGAAATTCAAATGTAAAAACATTAAAAACCTTGCTACTGGCACCTTGTTTTATTCACCTGCATAAGATGTGCCTTGATCATGTGGTATTAATGGTGTTATTTGTTGGCCTGTACACACAGCTGTCAGTAAAATAAATCTTCACATTCCAATGTCATAAGTTTCTATTTGTGCTCAAACATGAGGCATGTGGCCTGGCACTGCACAGGTTAATGCATGACTTCTGTTTATAGTCTAAGAATTGACACACCCTATACTATTTTGTTTTTATTTGCTCTTTTTTTCCCACAAAAGCTACCCTTTAAAACAAACATGTGAAAGTGTATAATGCCTTTAAAGTGGTATTAAACCCAAAAACAAAATTGTATCAAATTGCAGTTTACCAATCACTAGATGTGGTGACTGCATTGGTTTTCTTTTTTAGACTTTTTCCTTTAAGTTCACTTGGTTATCTGTCCAATACGTTCTTCTTCAACTTACTTTAACAGACCATGCTGTCCTAGCAAAGTAACAGTTGGAGGGTTGAGGCAAACCATTTACCACTGACAAGAGTGCTTATAATGATCAGCTTTCATTCATTTATTCAAAACCTTTATATTAAAAGGGGAAAAAAACTGTTGCTGTAACTCAGGCGTGCTCAAGCTTTTGATGAGCAAGGGCCACTTAAGTGATTTGATAACCGGTTGCGAGCCACAATAAAATGGTTTAGAATTTCACATTTTTTATTTTGAATAGTATAATGAACATTTTTTCCTCCTGCAGCTGCTGAATGCCGGCGGGAGGCAGAGAGGAGGAGAAGCCAGCTTTTAGCAGTTGCAGGAGAAAAATAGAGAGGATCAGTTCCTGTATGTGCTGCACTGGCCTCCCCCCATCCAAGTGTAAACTAGAATGTGACAGGGAGGCTGCACGGGCCCCCTGAAGCATGGGGCAGGGTCACCATTGCAACCCCTAACACTACACCGGTGGTTGGGAGTGTGTGGTAAAAACAAAAAAATCTCAACTATGTGGTTTTACTGCCACCATAAACCCCCCGAAAAACCCACCACCTGCGATTTTCCTTCGGATTAGCTGCACTTTGCCATAGACTTCTATTATATCTTGTGGGTGCACTTTCTGAAAGCGCACCAAAACTCCTGCATTCAGCAACCCGCAGACTATAATAGAAGTCTAGGGCTTAGTGCAGCTAACCCACAGGTACACTGCGCTGCACCCGCGGACCAGTGTGAAAGCAGCCTAATAGTTGTTGGCTCCTTAATAGGCACTAACATGCTCATTGCGGAAGTGCAGTGTATGTGTTGTTTAATACACTAACGTTCATTTCCTCTTCCAACTTCTTCTGGCATCAGTCTCCAGGCTGCTAGAACTGTTCCAGGTGAAGTGCACTTCGTATCATTGGGTCAGGAACTGGTGCTACAGAGGAAGCATCGGTTTATGCAGCTCCTGCTCTCTCCGCGGCCATCTGCTTCCTCCACTGCCAGCGCCAGTTCAGTGCACTTTGATGCTCTGGGATGGCGGGTTGGCAAACCCAGATTGCTATCAATGGGTTACCGACTGGGCATGCGATTCTCTGGTTTAAGGTTGAGGGCCACATCAGAGGACTCTGAGGGCCACAGGTTGAGAAATCCTGCTGTAACTGCTTATAAAGTGTTAGCTGGAGTTCAGCTTCAATTTGTTAGTCAAGTCCATCTAAATATTCTAGTCTAACACTACCCACTCCCCGGACTGACAATGCTGTTGTCCAAAGATGTCTGCTTTACTGTTTCATCCAGCATGCAGACAACCTAAGACAGGCAGTTTGATACTGGCACCAGGGGAAATTAAGGGAAAAAAAGCCTAAAAAAAGAAAACAAATGCAACCACTACATCTGAGGTTTGGTAAGCTGCATTATAAAATTCATTTTTGTTTTGAGTTTAATATTTCTTCAAAGTATAAGTAAAGGCAAATTGTTTTTAGTTTTGGATAGAGTGGAGATAGATTAGAACACCTAAAAAATAATAAACAGAAAGCGCCAATCATCAAAATAATTCTATAAAAAGCTGCAAACTTCTAACCCAAAAATATTGGTGAAAAAAAAAAACAACAAAATCAGAATGCGCTTATATCATATATCGTGCAAAACTGTGCAAAGATTATAAATATATATTGTAAAAAAGAAACCCCAGTGAATCTCAACATAAATTGTTCATATACAAAAGTCCAAAATCCCAAATTATTTCTTCTTAAATCAAATAAATCCACCGTGCTCAATCCACCACCAGATGAATGGGAATAAACTCACCAGAGCTAGATGCTGATCAAATTATAAATCAGCACAAGCGTATTTGCTCTGGGGAGCGATGAGAAAATCCAAGGAAACACCCTCCTGTAATTAGAAATCCAGGCACCAGGAGCAATACTCCGCAACCACTCTACGATATGGCCAGGACTTTTTATACAGCGGTCATCCTCCAAACACATGATAGTATCACTCCAAAATAAAGAAAAGGCATGATGGTGCAGTACGTAAAAACTATGTATGTTTATTTAAAATTCATATTACTCACAAAGCAAGTGTCCACCTGACACTGGTATAACAAGCGATAGAGATGCACAAAAGCATGTAACGAATGAACGAACTCCGTTCACTGCGGACACCTCGCCGACAGTTGCCGGGAACGTCCTGACGTCATCCAATAGGCTCCGCCCTACGCGTTTCGTCACACTGACGTCCTCACGGAGCGGCATGGATTCAGACGTCAATTCCATTCATAATATACCGCTCGCACTCTGCACAGCGGTATTTCTTTATCCAATCACAGCGGCGCTATAATGATATACCGCCGCTCAATTGGCAAAGATACAATTATATCACAAATCCTACAATCACATATATCCGATATTTGTTTTAACATATAAACTACATATTAAAAATATATATTAAAAAGGAATGAACTACATTTTATATCAAATCATTATCTGAAAATGACTAATCACTTAATCATGAGCTTTCTAAAGGGGAACTCTATACCACAAAAAAAATAAAATCCATCACATACCAATACATACAATATTCCATTCTTAATATATTGTTGTATACATTTTCTAATAAGCGAACTCTCCACACAATTCCACAAGAGATATATATGTACACATATATTCAAATACTTAGATCATTATTAATCCTTAAGTTGAATCCCCTCACTCCAAAGGACCCAGCCTCAAAACTTTGAAAAGAAAAGAAACCCCACTCATCATCTCTAATCCAATTAAATCAGGATACATATATATCTCTCTTTTTCTCCTTAACAAACAAAAAACTCTCCACTATATATTTCTAATTTTACCAAAGAATATGTTTAAAAATTCGTCAAAAAACAATTCAGATCAATATCTATATTTAAACCATTCGGTTTTCAATACATCTAATTCGTATATCCAAAACGTCTCCCTTTTGGATATTTCATTGATCATATCTATTCCTCTCCAGTGTTTTTTTACGCTTTCTATTCCATAAAAGGTTGCTAGACTTGGATCACTGTTATGTTTTAATTTAAAGTGTTTTGACACACTATGTTTATCGTACCCCTTTCTTATGTTGTTAAGATGTTCTCCAATTCTTGTTTTTAATAGTCTCCCTGTCCTCCCCACATACTGTAAGTGACATGGGCACTCTAAAACATAAATTACATGGGATGAATTACATGAAATTAATGAATTTATCTTATATTCTTTTCCCGTGTGTGTTGATGTAAAATTCTTTCTTTTTTTCTTAGTATCTTTTTTTATTGTTTTGCATGCCTTACACTTATTACAGTTAAAGAAACCCTGTATTTCAGGAAAGAACTGTTTTTTCATCGGTGGGTCCAAAACATTGTGAACCAATTTCATCTTCAATGACTTATTTTTTCCTATATATAAATTTAGGTTTTTTAGGAATAATCCCTTTTAATATCTCATCTTTAAGCAGTATTGGCCAGTATTTTTTAAAAATTTTCTCCACCTGTCTATATTGTTTGTTGAAATTGGTAATAAAGGCAATCTCCTGTTTCTTTTCCTTCTTTTTATTATTCATTAACAACCCATCTCTATCTTTATTCCCAATTACTTTTCTTTCGATCTCCAGAAAGGACTTATTGTAGCCCTTATCTACAAATCTCTCTATCAGCAAACTAGTCTGATCTACAAAATCTTCCTGTCGACTACAGTTTCTTTTTATTCTAGTGAACTGGCTCCTTGGTGTATTGAACAACCATCTCGGATGGTGTCCACTGGAAGTAGGAATATAACTATTTTTGTCAACATCCTTAAAAAAGCTTTTAGTATAAATACCACCTCCATACTTATACAGCGTGAGATCTAAAAAATTCACCTTTTCAGGATCACTAATTGTTGTAAATTTCAACCCATATTGATTGATATTGATACTATTGGTAAACCTACTAAGGTCTTCCTCTGAACCCCTCCAAATCATCACGATATCGTCAATATAACGCCTATATAGAACCATTTCTGGCCATCTATCAAAAATATATTCCTCTTCCCATTTATCCATAACAATGTTTGCTACGCTGGGGGCATACTTGGCTCCCATCGCGACACCTTTGCATTGCTGGTAAAAGGTGTTCTTATACCAAAAAAAGTTATTAGACATAGCAAACTCTAACAATTTGACAATAAATCGTCTCTGAACAGTTTTAATCCTAGATTTTTGTTTTAAAGCCCACCTCACTGCTTCAATTCCATCTTTTTGCTTAATGCTAGTGTACAGAGCTTCTACATCAATGG